AGCGTAGGCATAATGGGCTCTGCTTGTTACAGTAGCAGCAACAACAGAGTGAACAACATCTATAAGCTATTTTTTCTTTGCTATGATTTATTGTTTGCGAATCTGTCAAAAGTAAATATATCATGTCTTGTTTGTAGTAGCTCAGCTTGTGTTAAAACAACTCTCATATTGGAATTCACTTTATTGGTTCCCTTCATGGCTAGTGCGTGAGAGTTTCTTCAAATCTTCTATCATGACAGAAAAGAAATAATTTACCATTGCTGGAGAGGATGGTTAGTGTGATTTTAGGTTCTGAATCAGTTTTCTAATACTAGTTTGTGTGCGCAGAAGAGAAGATGGGGGAGTTGCTGGAGTATATATTGGTGTTTTGGATATCAGAAACACACAAAGCGAATTGGGCATGCTGTCCTTTCTCCTGAACCATCAGCTCCTGGAAATGGTGCTTCTGCTTCTGAAAATCCAACGCAGGCACAAGCAGTCACACTTCCCTTTGTTGCACCTCCCTCCTCCCCTGCCTCTTTCTTTCAATCAGAGCCTCCTTCTGTTACTCAATCACCAGCAGGTTTAGTGTCCCACACCTCTATATCTGCCAGTATGTATTCTCCCAGTGGGCCTGCCTCTATTTTTGCCATTGGTCCTTATGCCCACGAAACCCAGTTAGTCTCACCACCTGTATTCTCAACGTTTACCACCGAACCATCAACTGCTCCTTTCACTCCTCCTCCAGAGTCTGTCCACCTGACTACACCTTCCTCGCCGGAGGTTCCTTTTGCTCAATTCCTTGACCCTAGCCTCCAAAATGGTGATACTGATCTGAGATTCCCATTTGATTTTCAGTCTTATCAGTTTTATCCTGGAAGCCCAGTTGGCCAACTCATTTCGCCTAGCTCTGGCATTTCAGGTTCAGGCACATCATCTCCTTTCCCTGATGGTGAGTTTGCTGTTGGTGGTCCTCAGTTTCCTGAGTTCCGAATTGGTGAACCTCCAAAGCTGTTGAACCTTGATAAGCTCTCCACATGTGAATGGGGATCATATCAACGTTCAGGGGCTTTGACTCCAGATTCTGTGAGGCACAGAACACCTAACTTTCTCCTTCATCGTCAGTTTTCTGATGTTGCTCCACACCCTCATTCAGACAATGGACAAAATTATGATCAAGTTGTTAATCATAGAGTCTCTTTTGAGTTAACTGCTGAAGATGCCTCGAGTTATGTGGAAGAGAAGCAAGCTTTTGCTATTAAAACTGTGCCAGAATGTGTGGAAAATGGAACAAAAGCTAAAAAAGAAGAGAATTCTGGTGAATCGACACAAAGCTTTGAGTGTTGTGCTGGCAAAGCATCTAATGACACACTGGAGACAGCTTCAACAGATGGGGAGGAGGCACCGCAGCATCGAAAGCAACGGTCCATCACTCTCGGGTCTGTTAAAGAGTTTAACTTTGACAATGCTGATGAAGGAGATTCACAGAAGCCTAGTAGTTCAAACTGGTGGGCCAACGGAAGTGTTATTGAGAAGGAGGGTGAGACCGCAAAGAACTGGTCCTTCTTCCCTATGGTGCAGTCAGGTGTCAGCTAGCTAGTGTCTAAATAGACCTCTCCACTCCTGTTTTGTGGAGCAATGTAGGATTTTTGTTGCCAGAAACCAGGCATCACACTTACTGAAGCCAATTGCAGTGATTTTTTCATCTGCTGTGGAAAGATGCTAGGCTGACCCTTAAATGAAGAAGGCTGTTTTTGAGTCCTTCGAGACCTGAAAACAGGGGCAGATGATAGTTTTATTTTTTATTTTTGGCTTAGCTAGCTTGAATAGTGTATCATATCTCTTTCCTTAGGAAGAAAGATGAACTAACAGTACTCAGATACCTTTTGAGTTCGTATAATTACCATTTGTAATATAGATGATGAATAGATAGTTTAATAATGCCAAAAAGAATGGAGATGAAAGTTTTTCCATCATTGTCCTTGTTCGGAGATTTTGGAAACTGATCAGGGAAGCAAGCGGTATTTGGTATGAGACAGTGACCGCATACGGCATATGTATATCAATGAAAAGATCCAGGATTCCTCTCCATTTTATTAGAGGAAAATGAGATGAGACTGGTGCGGATGCATGATCATATTTATTGCAAAGTCAAGAAGTTTTCAGCGAGTCCTTGTGTAATTACTCAAGACTTGTATATCAATTTTTTCTCTCCGACGCCAAAAAAAAAAAAAACAAAACAAAACAAAAAAAGTTTGGATTCGTTGGGCCCTCAATTATGGAGCCTTCTGTTGAATCCTAAAAAGAACAAACACTGGACATATATAACTATCGGGAGGTGATATTACTCGATAAAAACACCCCTATAAAATCTGACTCTCGACATCCTTTATCGTCTAATGAGCCAAAAGTCATTAATTAACATCAATTGTAAAGGAGGAAGGAAAAAAACAAAAAAACAAACAAAGAAAACACCCTGACAAACCAAATCACGGCTGAACCGTGACGCCACCATCGCAACTATCCACCGCCACCCCTTTCTGAAACAGCCACCATGAAACTCAACAACAATGACCTTAAAACTCACTGCCATTATACGCAACAAAATCTATAACCATAAACCAAAGCCAAAATTAAACCACAAGCCCACCGTCAAGACCCACTCTTATATATAACCCATCATTCATGGTGTTTTGGGCCAAAGGTAAAATCAAACCAGCCACTAGATAAAGCCAATTTCAATTTATATAAATAGTAACAAAATACTACAAACTATTAATGAGACGAGCCAAAAGAAAAAAAATCTTTGGATAATTCAAGATATATGTAAGTTTCAATCGGATTTGTTTTACGGCCAAGATAAAAATGGGTATTAGGTGTGTGTTTTCTGTGGAGTAAATTATAAATTCGTCCCTTTACTTTTGTAAAACAAATTAAATAGTGTCTTTTGTTTTAAAAATAATTAATTAATTAATTTCTTAACAAGTATTAACCATAATTAATTTAATAATACTATATATATATATTCTTTCATCATCAATCGTATCTTTTTACTTATTTTTATATTTATTAAAATAAAAAATTAAAAAAAGTTTAAGTTATAAATAAATTTAAAAATATAAGGATTAACTAGTTAGTTTTTAAATTAAAAAATTATTTAATTCATTTTGAAAAACTAAATAGACTGATTTATAATATAATCGTTTTCTTAAAGAAGAGAAAGTATAACAAATTAGAATATGCAAAAAACAGCAATCATTTTGAAATGAAAGGAAAAAAAATGACAGGGACTAGAATATAATTTTTTTTTCATTTGAGTAAACTAATTTTTGTCAATTTTTTTTGTTAAATGATGACATGTCAGTTACCTCTAAAATACCAAATTATAATTTTGCATGGGCTTTATGCATGGACTTTATTTTATTATTATTATTTTTTGAGTATATTAATTTTTAAAAAACTATCAATCAAATATTTATGTAAATTTTTTTGCTAACTAATATAGTGTTTATTACCTCTAGAATCCAAATTACAAATTCGTCTTCTTTTTGTTAGAGGAAACTTTTTTTCTAAATTATTCTACCATTTCAAAAATTGATAAAAAATTTTTTAAAAATTATTTTTTTAGCTATAAAACCTTGAAGTAATTTCCGTTAGTTTTAAGTGTGAAATTTTTTTTAAAAAATCATAAATATGAGATTTTTTATCATGAAAATTCATTGTTTGTAAGCATTTTGGGAAAGATTTCCCTCCAATCATGCGAAGAGGAACACTATCATCGGGTTCATCTTCTAAAAACTAATGAGCTTGCCTCTTATATGCAAGAGATCACGGTTCATCTTTTAGTTCCTCTAAGAGCTTGAACTTTAGGTGTGTGAATTTAAAAAAAAATAATAATGTTAAAAAAATTGATGTATTAAAAAAAAAATTGATATACTTATATAGTAGAATCATCTCAATAATTTCTTATCTAATTAAACCGGGGCACTAATGCAAAACAACCTGCATTTGTAAATTTTGGAGCCAGGTTTGTTTTTAAGAATCTATTTTAGCCACGTCGTGGCTTAAGTGGGTTTCCTTTTAGAGCCAGTTTTATTTTACTTTGCTAACATCAGTTTGCGTGTGAGTTCATTTCAGCCTATGGGGATGGCAAAAATACACTGACTCGATGAAATTTTAGCCTGCAAAGGTTGGGGTCAGTTATGGTATTTTCACTGCAGGGAAAACCCGGCATCATTAGCATATACGTGTCATAATTCCTATTTTCGTTACATTTCTATCTTATATTTTTTACATCCTAAAGTTGGTGCCTTTATGTTTTTCGAACCTAAAAATCAAGGTTAATGTCCTATTCTGCATTTTTTCCTTATATTATCAGCCGGTGCTTGGTATCAGTTTTGAGAGTTTTTTTTTTTTTCCCTAAATAGGACATTTTTTAATTTATTTTTTTAAAATAAGATATTTTAAATTTTATTTATAAAAAAAAGATAGTTTTTTCATATACACATTCATGTCATCTTTTTAACTGAGTATTACAATATATATTTAATATAATAATTTAAGAAAATTAGAAACATAAAAAAAAAAAATTAACTTTCTCTCTCTTTGTCACTCTTTTATTGTTTTTATCCTAATTTCTTAAAGTTTAAATATTCTCACAATTTTAAATCACAATTACTAAAAAAGTTCTTTAGCATATGAATATTATCAATTAAGATACTTTTCTAAGTTTTTTTATTTTTATTTATTTAATTTTGACAAATTTTCTTTTAATTTGTATATTGTATATTCTTAATTTTGAGGGTTTGTATTTTAAGAAGAATTTCATAACTTGTCAGGTTAAATTTACCATCAAAATTGTTAATCTCACTTACTTTTTTAGAATTATAAATACATTCTTTTCATTCATATTTGTTATGTTATATGTAAAAGAAGATGATAGGATATTCTGTTAATAGTTTATCCATTATCTTTTCTGAAAAAAAAAAAAATTGGCTACCTACTTTTCTACTCAACCCATGCTAAATTTCTAGTTGTATTCCATTCTTACCTCGAGAGAAAAATTTTGCAAAACCATTTCGATTCTTCTCGGAACTGACATGATTCAAAGACACAGTAGATGAAGCTGAAGACGATGCAGATGGGGGAGAGCTTCCTTCGTTTATATTTGCTGAAGGACCAGAATTCTCCTTGGCAATTCTTGGAGAACTCGAATCTCTTTTAGGAGGTGAAAATGTTTCATTGGAGTATAACTTCCATGGTTCTCCATTGCCTTTAAGAATTGCTGATCCTCCAGCAGAGAACTTCGGTATGCCTGCAGTGTCAATCAAGTAAGTCTTCTAGAGTTGCTAGAGATTTCAGCTGGTTCCCAAGAGACGCTATTGTTTTCTAGCATTCAGCAAGTTTCTTAGCAGCTACATCTAGGTCCTCCTGCTACAGACAAGTCTGCTACAATCCCTGCAATGACTGATGCGCCTACTTCTGATTTTCTTAAACCCGAAAGGTGATTAGAAATCTTGAGAATGTAAATCCGATTTTTCAGCAACTAGAATCAGGATAGAATGTCGAGGAAATTAAGCATGAGACAATCAAGGAAAATTAGGAAATTACCTCTAAGAAGGTTGGATCCTACTGTAAGGGTCATGCATGGAATTGTTGCCTCTCTACAGTTTACAGATTTATATAAGCAAGATCAATAAGAATGTTACTGTAAGTTCCTAAGTGATGGAGAAAGCCAAACGGAGACTTGTGATCATCAAAAAGAAAAACAAAGTCCATAATTGATTTATTACCCAGCAAAGATGCAGAACTATCAATCATGCGAAGAGGAGCACTATCGCAGATCATCAGCTTTCGGATTGGAGAGACTGTGCCGATTATGAACCCACATATCTGAAAGAAATTTAAGAAAATGAAGCAAATTAATGACATTTACATGGTAGATTAGGCACTGACCAACTCAGCAAAATTTTTCTTCTGTTTTTTCTTTAATTTCTGCATTTACCATCAAGACTTTTATGGCTTGTGATAATCTCTATTGAAGATTTAACATTGAAGACTTAGAAAAAGAAGGCCCTCTTCACTAAAATATAAAAACACATGATCTGAAAGATTGAATAACGAAATTAAAAAACACCATGGCTTCATCTTTCAAGTGCAGCTACCATTGCAGCTAATTGGATAAGGAAATTAATTTAAAATATAGAGAGAGAAAGAGAGAGAAGCACACAAAATTAATTTAGCATACTTACCATCGTAGAGATTAATGAGAAAATTAAGAGTGAGTATCCAATTGATTTGAAATAAGCCATGGGTAGGAAAGACTTTAAATTATAAATTAGGTTTTTTGATAGATAGTTATAATTTAGTTTCTATCAAGAAGGCGGAGAAAGAAGAAGCAAAGGAAGAAGCAAAGGAGAAGATCGCAAAATGAGAGAGTAATTTATGATGATAACACAATTTTTTTAACAAAAAAATATTAAAGCTGACATGTCAATGCATTAAAATGCAATTATTCCTATTTAGCATAGAGTTACTTATTCTATAGGAAATAAGTTTAAAATTAAACTATTATAAGAAATAAGATTTGAAAATACCCTATTATGAAAAAAAAAAAAAACCCTAGTTTTGATTTGAAACTCTTGGTTTGCTTATATGTTGGCTGAAGGTTGCATATACAAAATGTGGCATTGCTTTGTCACCAGCAACAATTATAATTGAATTTTTTTAATATAAATTATTAAATATGTCAGGAGTTTTATTTTTTATTTTTTATAAAAATATAACACTATAAAAATAATTCATAAGTCCCATGTTTTTGTGGGGAAAAAAATACGGTTCTCGACTGAATAATTCCTTAAATCTTCAAACCAATCTAATATATTCAATTTCATAGAATATATATATATAAAGCCTTCTTCAATGGACATTGAACCAGTTTGACCCAAGCATGTTAACAAGTGCACAGGTTTGTTTACTCCCAGAAACCTTGAAAGAATACTGGCTACTTTTTTCGGTGATGCACAAGGTGAAATCCCATAGCTTTTTGGCCAATTCTGCGTCTTCAGCCTGAGAGCTTGGTTCTGCCATATTGTTGTCCATAAAATATTTTCCACTTATCCCCTTCACTTGTGGATGCAATGCAACGTAACATGTAGTTGTTGCCCCCTTTAACCACAGCCAAATGAAATGAATAAGCAACCACGTTACATGGAGTTAATAATTAATTGTAGTAAGCAGAGTGATTGTTCATACAAAACCATGTCATCATCTTTTGCCAATTTGCAGAAAAGGGGTACCCCATTCAGATAAAATCTTGCAATGTGTTTCTCAGAATTGTGAAAGCCATACCTACTGAATATTTTTTGTCATGTATTTACAAAACAAGCTGAAAAGAGCTGCATCAAGACCAATGGATGGGAAAATATTAATAAAACTAGGCAATTCTGGGTACTCTACATGAAGAAGAAATATATTAAGCTGATTATAGAATGCTCTGTAGCATAAGCAACAGATACAAGTTATGAAAGATCTTTCCAATGTTCTGTAAAATATGCAAGAAGACCCAGTTGTTCCATACTCCAACATCAGATTAATTTAATTCTGTAAAAACCTCAATACCAAAAGTATTTTGTCGAAGCACAGAAAAACAGAATGATCAAGTGAAGAGGCTGAAGAAAAATTTACCATTGACAAAACCTTGGTGACACAGAAGATTGGTATAGATTGCTCCGGGATGTAGTGAATTAGAAGTTATCTCTTCCCCTTCTTCCTGTAAATTCAGGCGATAATGGACTGACATTTTTTGTATTAGATTCTGCCCATTAGAATAATGTGCACTCACATTTCAACGCAAGGCACTCAATGTGTTCATATTTTATAGTACTAATCTTCAATACCAAACTGCTTAAATTGGTGACTCATGGCTTGTGATCAAGAAAGTAAATCAAGTACAGCAAAGAAAATCTTTATGGTCTATACTAGGTAAAAAAATTCTGATAATAGAAATTGATCATTTAGGGCATATTATGCTTTAATTACCTCCAGGCGCCTTGCGAGCTCGTTGGGGTGTAATAGGTTAACAAGCTTTGATTGTCCATGGAAAAAAAGCAACTGATAGAATTGGAAATTATCACCTGTCAGAAAGAGCAAGAAAGACAGAAGCTGCTGATGCTTCATGACGACATCGAACACTATATGTCGAAACTTAAAACCATAGACATAAATATTTCTGGGATCAAGTTGTTACTTACCTTGCCTCGCCATAGATTTTATCGAAGCATATTCCTACGCGACTCACAATACCGTGACCTAGTGATGATACATTAATGATCCTTACTTCTTGCTTGCTTTGTTGTGCTGTGCAGATCTCTCCAATAAAACGTTTGTTAATAAAATTGCAAATTGTATTATTTCAAACCCAAGTTGCAATATCAACATAGAACATACTGGGACCGAATGTTTCAATGTTTAAAAGTCATATATAACATACCTTTATGGTTGGTTGCAAATAACAACTCAAATGTTATCTTGAGAAAGCTTGGAAGGAGATGACGGAACCCCTGCATTATTACCTCAAACAGGGAAAGAAAGGATTACTCTTCTCTGGACAGCTAGAATCTGCCTGTGAATATGAATTGTATTGCGAGCATAACAGGAACATTCAACTGACTGGTGACAATTGGATGGGATAAAAATTTCAATTTTAATTACTCCAACATAGTTTCCTTATATGAGGATGTTCAAAAGAAGACTCGATCGAGGAAATATATTTGTATGCAAACTTCCTCGCTGACGCCATTGAGCTTAGGTCTAACTCCATAACCTCAATCTGAGCATTGGGGATTTCCTTCAATATTGCTTCTCTAACATTCCTACCAGCATCTATATTCCTCACTACCATAACTAAATGGACATCACAGTGCAAGGACACGCGTTGTTTATGCCCCAATACTACTTTGATGCTCTGGAAATTAAAATTTGCATTCAAAACCAAAGATTAGTTGCTTCTTTTTTTTCTTTTTTTTACTGTGACCCAAGCTTGATGAGAAGTTAAAATCATCGAGTGACAAACTGAATTCTTGCCCACTCAAACGTTCATATAAAACTTCAATATATATATATATATAGACACACACACACATTAAATTGTTTGTGCAAATTTTTCCATTTCATATTCATAGACGCATTCGTTTAGATCCACGGGTCTTAATGGTATCAAAGCCTAGTTGTTTGGTGGGGTTGTATGTTTATAGTTTATAGATTTCATGTCTAGATTCTACTACGAGCTCGTGGTATAGACAATTGAGTCGGTGTGGTTGTAGTAAGTTCCTAAGGTTAGGCGATAAATCGGAGGAATTACCTTCATAACTCGCATATCCAATGCTCCAAACTATAGTCTAGTTATGGATTTTCTATTCTTTAGATCTACCTCCTTATCAACCTCCTCGGCTTCCGAGACTTCGAGTCTAGGAAGATAACAAATAGTATAGAGTACGTTATTGAAGATTTTGACAAACAAATTGATGATTAGACAATACCCAAAGTCTATAAGGAAGAAATTTACAAAACCTCAAAGTATAACTCTGTTTAAAACAAATTTTACTATCAAAACCAAGGAGAGGGATATCCGGCTTCCGAAACCCTTTGAAACTATTCACCTCCTCTCTTCAAAACCTCTTCAAAAACACAGAGACAAAAACTTCAAATATATCCATTTGGTTTAGTTCAAGTGGGAATTAAACCACTTACAAAAGAAGGGTTGAATACGTTAATCCTTGATGTCCTTAGAGATAATAGGTTTACCAATTTCTAGGATTCCTTGTTTAGTTCCATAGAATCCGATCTTTGTAGTGGACCTATTTCTTTTGATTGTTATCCAAACTTTACGGTTTCTTTGAATGACAAAAACATTCCGGAATCCTTAGTCCTTCGGATCAAAACCCATAATTACAAAATGTTAGATGGATCAATCCCAGTTGCATTGATCACTAAGATCCATTATAAGGCCATGACCTCTCGCCTTTGCCTCAAAACACAAAAGACGAGTCTACCAAAGGGGAGACTCTCCTCCTTTAAATGGACTTAACCAAGTCCAATACCGTCATTCCTAGGCCCATTAGATGAATAGACATAGTCTTACCGGACAAATGGATCCTTGAAGGAATCGAGCAAATCTGAATCTCCACCAATCCTAGAGATTCCAAAACCTAATACCCAAATCGGATCTATAGCTTAACAGTTAGACGGGAGTGTTAGACTCTCATTCGATAGAATATTTACCAGCGAGTAGATTTTCCGATGTTAGCTACGGTTCTCATACTTATGACTTAGGACAATTCTTTGAAATCCCTTCGTCATAAATTTACAAAATGTTAGATGAGATATAGACTTAGACAAGAGTCTACCATCTCACAATATGCATCATAGGTTTTCAACTTCGATATTTCAAATCCTATTTTACAAAATGTTGATTATTGTACAAATATCCCAAAACCTAGATACACAAACCAGGATGGTTCTCCCCTTCATTTCCTATCGCATCTGCTATCATTGAAAATATTACAAATGAATGTAATGCTTTGTTTGATGATGCATTTGAAGTAGACAAAACATATCCGCATAATGACTTTTACTCAAAATAGAATTCGAAAAAAGAATTTGGTTCTTCAAAAACTTTCTTGAAAAAAGGAAAGATAGTCAAAATGAATTTTATGATTTTGTGAATACTCATAAGATTCATATACTTGTTCTTTGATTGGTTTGAGTTATATGTTTGTGAAAATAATGTAGCTTATCCTTTCACCAAAACCTTGAACCCCGTAACTAGTAGGAACAAAACCCTTATATGGGAAGTGGAAGGAAAGACTATCCAGTCCGAATACCCTCCTCTTAGGAAACTAACTTTCTCCCACGGAGAAGCAAAAATAGAAGCATGTCCGTACAAAATACCCAAAGATGATGACTTTGTCAACATCCAAAACATTATTCAACGGAATAATTTTACCAATACCAATCTTCAAACCATAGGAAAGCAACTTGTTAGGATAGAAAACCATATCCGGAAATCGGTTGTTTGCCCTATTGTTTCTATAGAAACCCATACCGAGGATAAGAAGCTGAAAAACCCAATCTTTAAACCTTTCCGGGTTTCTAGGAATAGTCAACAACAAATCCAAACCAATCGACCGGAGTTTCTAAAAGCCATTAGAGACCGAACTTAGCAAAATAGAAGTTTCCTTTGTAGGAACCTTTAAACAAGTAGCACTCGAGACACATCAATCCCGTAGTGTCAACATACTAGACCAAAACTCGGAGGTAGAATCTATCCTCGAGATAAATAGACTTAATTGGAAAAACCATCCGCCTATGATCACCGCCTCGATATAGGAGAAATGCCAAATAAGTTAGCTCAACCAAGGTTTAATGTCTCTTCTATCTATGAATGGAACATAGATGGATTGTCGGAATACAATATCTTAAGCTTACTTTAACAACTAACCATGACGGCTAACACCTACAAAACCCAAAATGGAACCCACGACCGTGCGATTGCTCGAATTGCTCATTATCGATTTTTCGGGACGAGTTGAAAGGATGGTGGGACTATCATCTCACTACGTAACAACATTTAGAAATCCCGAATTTCATCCAAATAGACCAGAAGGACTCTCCGTCCTAGATGACTTAGGAGAACTTATTCAAGATGCGAGTGTCAACACTCATCCCGACTATTTCCCTTCATTTCATAAGAGACCCTTCACACTCGAAAGATAAAAATGTTGAACTCCCGAGCAACCTTAGGTGTAAAAAGCTCAATGACTTCTAGTACTATAAAACCATTTTCCTTACTAGAGTCATGCTTCGTGAAGACTCTAACCAACCTTTACGGAAAGAGAAATTTCTTGCAAGACTTCCTATTCTCCTAGGTGAAAAGGTTAGAACCAAGATTAAGGATGCATTTGACGATCAAATCCCTTATGACCAATTAACCTTTGGTGAATTGATTAGTCTTACACGAAGGAAGGACTAAAAATTTATCAAGCCCTCAAACTCCAAAAACACATTAAGTGGGAAATGAAGAAAACCAAACGAAACTTGGTAGTTTCGTAATCGGCTTGACATTTCCACTTTAAAACCTTCAGATTGTAAAAATAACTACAACGAAAAAGCTCATAAAAAGCCTTATAGGAAACCTTACCATAAAGGAAAGCCCAAAGAAGTCGAACCCTTCTATAAGAAGCCTTCTAACAAAACACCCAAAAAACCTTTTAGGAAAACCCGATTCGAGCCAAAGCCTAGGATCGACCAAAGGGAATTTACCTATTACAAATGCCGTCAAAAGGGCCACATTTCAAGATACTATATGATAAACACTAGACTACAAGAACTCCGAGTTAGAAGAAGAGATTTTTAACAAAATCTCTTGCTCGTTAATTGAGTCATCGGACCTCTCGGACTATTTCATTAGTGAAGAAGCCTTACGGGTAGATGAACTAGTTACCTCTTCTAGCTCAAACTCTACTTTGGATTCGAACTCGAAACTAGCCAAAACCTAGTCAATGTTTTGACTAAGGATCAAGATCTTATCCTTGATATTATAAAACATATTGAGGATCCCTAACTATAAAAAGAGTACTTAGATAGATTCTTAAATTCTCTTGATGATAAACCAAAAGAGAAACCAAAACCCTCAATCTTACCTTCTATAAGTACTAGCACTTATGACCTTACGGCCATACTTAATAGGAAAAAAAAACCAAAAAACCTTTGACCATCATACGGGACCTTCGATCTAAAATCAAAACCATTAAGCTTGAGCTTAAGGAGCTCAAAGAAAGATAGACTAGAGACTCCGGTCTCTTAAAGGTTCTTTTAGAAAAACGAGCGGAAGAAGAGTCGTACTCTGCTTTTGAAAACCTTATAAAAAAATCAAGAGTTACAAAACCTTGAGAATCTAGTACGTGTTTCGAAGATTTCCTTTTTGTACTTTGAGAAGTTACTTCTAGGTAATACTTGATTAAGATTACTCTTGTTTTTCAAAATAATTTCAAAATTGATATTATTGCCTTGTTTGATATCGATGTTGATTTGAATTGCATTAAACAAAAAATTGTTCCAAAACGATTTCATTTGAAAGCTTATGAAAAACTTTACGTAGCAAATAATTCTAAAATGACCATTAAAGGAAAGACAAAAGCCTCTATGGTTAACGAATTATTGCCATAAAAACCCATTTCTTGCTTGTTGAAGATATGTATCATACGGTGATTTTAGAAACACCTTTCATAAATCTTATTACTCCTTACAAGGTTTATGATGATTGTATTTCTTTCAAAACCAAGCATACTAAACTTGTTTTCCCATTCCTTGAAAAACCCAAGACTAGGAATCTTAACATTTTCAAAGCATGTTCTATTTATAGCTTTGAAATTAATTCTCTAGTTCTCTACTTATCCTTTGTCTTTATCTCAATATAATCCTTTTACAAAACCCATAAAAACCTACCTTGTTGATGATTATATAGGGATGAAGCGCTTTTATGATCAAACGATGGACTATGACCAAGATGAGGCAATTGAATTCAATCAAATGCCCATTACGGAAGAAGATATCTTAGAAGATGTCATGACCATCATTGGCCTAGATACTAACCAAACGAGAAGATTATCTAGATGCTTAGAGCTATTGAGAGATCTCCTCGATCTCTTGAAGAAATAGCAATAGATTCTATTGAGGATTTCTTCTAGAAGAAAGTCAAAATGAACCGGAAAAAGAACTCAACAATATTGTTGACTATCTTTTAGCACCAAACCATTTGGAAGAAGTCCTTGAAAAACAAATCAAAATTGAAACTTTGCCTTTGTATTTAGAATTGGCGACCATGACTTCTTCTAGTTTTGA